TACTCTCCAAATATATATACGAGATGCTATAAATGCATATTGTAAAAGTTAACTATAACCGAATAAAAGGAGCCGGCTAAGAGGCCACCTTAACACCAAAAAAAAATAAAAAATTAACAGCATATTAGAATCAGCTCATTATATAGTAATGAGCCTAGCAATATTAATAATACTACTGACTCTCCTGCTGCTAATTATCCACCTACTAAAGCATCTTTAGCTGCTATTATTTTTCCAATCACTCCTATTGACATAAATACTAACGAACATAACAATTATAATAACAAGAAAAATAATGATAATAATACTACTGACTCTTTTGCTACTGATTATCTATCTACTGAAGCATTTTTAGCTGCTGTTGCTTCTCTAGCAACTCTTACTACACCCATTGCTACAAGTACTAATGATAATAATGAGCATAACAACGATAATAACTCTACTGACTCTTCTGCTACTGATTATTCATCTACTAAAGCACCTTTAGCTACTATCGCTTCTTCAGCAACTCTTATTACACCTATTGCCACAAGTACTAATGATAATAATAAGCATAATGATAATAATGATAATAACGAGCATAGCGATAATAACGAGTATAGCGATACTAATAAGCATAGCGATAATAACAAGCATAACAATAATCTTGTAAGTTCTAATTAATAAATATTAATATTTAAATAACAATATTTAGATACTAATAATTTTAATTAACAGCATAGTAGAACAGAAATTACCTGTGGAGCTTCATCTAGTAACAAGTATAATAATCTTGTTATCCAGATAAAGTTTAACTATCATATTAGCAATAAAATTTTTTATTAAAATCTAAATAGTTAATTTTTATGGTTAGTATAAAGAAGCAGAAATTGGTCTTAAAACATTAAGCAATAATCCTGATAACTTTGTTAAACCTAAAAGAAAAAATCAAAGAGTAAACGTAAAGCTGATAGCGTATATAATCGACCTTTAAAACAAAAAGTATGTAAATATTAATTTTGGTAAATATGTTTAATTTAATAAATTATTAATTAAATAATTTACTTTTTTCTATAGTGTATATCGATTGATTATAAAAATAATGAATCTTCGGATCCTAAAAGCACAGTTAAAAGTAAGACAAATTAATTAATACTGTATACAAATTTTATAAGATACTAAATTTAATTTATATATTAGATATTATGTCTTTACAGTTTATTTCTTTTGATTCTTCTGAATCAAATAATTTAGATGGTATATATAGTACTATTTATTTTTTTTTATTAATTGTTATATTATCAAATTTAACTGTTAATTGTATTTTTTAAAATTAGACAATACTTCATGTTCACTATCAGAATTTTCAAATAACAAAGCAATTGAAAATGTACGAATCTTGAACTATTGGCACAATTGATTCTTATGTTTAGATTATATATATATATAATTAATTTTTACACAATTTTATTATATAATTTAGGATTCAGTTACAAATATATTAGAAAATGCAAATGAAAAATCATTCAGAAAAGTAAAAAACATAAACTATTAACAGTTTTTTATCTTAAGGTTAACTATATATATATATATATTAATTCTCATATATAATTTTATATATATACTTTTAGGATTTGACCGAAACATTGTGTAATCCAAATAAAGATAAAGAATCATTTGAAAATATAAGAAATTTAAACTACATATTAGCAATATTAATTCTTATGCTTTGATTAACTATATATATATATTGGATAAAATTAATTATCACGCTTTTTATACTTTTATATAGAATTCAACGGCAAATACCTTGGAAACTTTACATAATTCAAATAATATTGCAAATGCTGCAAATCTTATAATCATATCAAAAGTTGAATCAATATTGTATAACTCAAAAGAAAAAGATATTGAATCTATTGAATTAGAGTTAGATGGTAAGTTTTATTGTTTATTGATTTAATTTTATTAAAAATTTACTTATATTAAATAATCTTCTAGATACAGATAGTATTATAAACAATAAGCCTAGTAAGGCTTAGCGTCTAAAACAAGCTTTTATAAATACTACTTAAAAAGAGTTGATTATATACGATAATTAACTTTTTTTAACTAACTCAGTTGAAAGTTTTTTTATAACAAACTTCGATCACTTATTTTTTAATAATAGTAATGAAGTTAGTTATAATCCATCTCAAGAATTACTAACTTATTCATTTCAAGATATTGAATCAATATATAAGTATCTTGAAAGTTGAATTTCTTTATATGATAAACTTGGATCTGCAAAAAGTTTAATTGAGGAATCTAGATTGCATATGCTGTATAATTTACGTAGACTTTTCGTAGCACTTGCAGTAATATATGCAATGAAATACAAAGAAGATAATAAAGTATTTTCAGACCATTTAACTTTACATAGTCTTATTAGTAATAAGGTACAAACACTTTTTGGAATCGTTGAAAGATATGAAAGATGCTATTGGTTAGAAACTTGGCAGTTAATTGAATTGCTTCATGTAATTCAATATCTTGCTATGATTCTCATTAAATCTGAACTAACTGCAAATTTTTTAATGTCTTCAACTTATGAAGATTATAATAATTTTCTTAAAAGTTTTTTAAATAATAAGAATATTTTTTATAAAAAACCAAAATTTGAAGCATCTGTAATACAAAAAATTATAGACCTAGGTATAATTATCTGATCTAATAGATATTGATGTCCGTAAAATTATGTGATAAAAATGTGATTTTGATTTTCTTGAAGCTTGTAACTTCACATATCATGTATTAATAAATCTTAATTTGCTATTGTATTTTTTTATATATGAGAAGTTTTAAACAATTACTTGATTAATAATAAAAGTATTCTTTAATTAGTTATCAGTGAAATTAAAAAAATATTAGTATTAGATATTTTACACTGTGGGACAAAAAAAACTAGAAAAAATTGCACATAATTTTATAGCTATTTTCATTATTCCTGTAATACTTATAAAAAAATTAGTGTTAGAAGCACAGAAAATTTTTGGGCATGCCCAAAAAGGCATGCCTTAGCCTGAGGCATGCTTTTCATATTGTGCCCAGGGCATGCCCCTATATATAATTCATATGATATATATAATATATATAAATTAAAAAGAAATCTATATTTCATATCATACCATGATTACAAGTTCCCTCTACTCAATATTATGCATAATAGCAAGTTATTTTCTTATGCTTTTCTAATAATTATCATATGATTCTTGCTATATCAACTACTTGATTCATGTTCTACCAATTTGGACAAGGTTTAGAAATAATTGTACCAGCAGAATTTCTCTTTTAATAACTATCACAAATTCTTGCTATATAATTATACTTCTCACATTGAGCCAGTTGGCTTTAAGTATATAGAATGATCAATTATCACGCTTTTCAAATTACTGTATCTGCTGATTTTTATACATCACACTGGGAATCAGAAATCTAGAAAAAATGCCAATATATGATTGGCTAAAAATTATTTTTTAACTAATCACAAATTTGTATTTATTCTAGATTTCTGATTTCCAGTATAATGTATGAAAATCAGTTGATACAGTAATTAGAAAAGCGCAATAATTTTTTAGTAATTCATCTTGGCAGAATTAGAAATACCTTTAGATTGAATAATAGCTAAATATACATAAGATAATTTTATAATATAAAATAAAAAGAAAAAAGATGGCGTGAATTCAAAAAACAATGTACATTATAAAGGGCAAAATATCCACCGGGCCTGGATAATACAATTATTTTCGTTTGAGATCATTTGAAAACAAATTTATTTATTTGAAGTATAGGAATAGTGCATGCTGCCCCAGCAACTACAACTCAAATCATAGTTCAAATTATCTATCCATGAAATACATTTTCTTCAGCTTTTAGAAATGTCAATAGAACTCCAAACCCAGAGTTTACGCTGCGGAGATTGTATACAACTGTGGAGACTGTGGAGACTGTAAACAGCTGTGTAGAGCATCGTATAGGTTGTTCGTATTTATACTCTCATTCTGACTTGTCATCTTTTAACTTATCGTTATTATTTGAGAGTATATGGGAGTACCTAGCTGCATGAAAATGGTGTGATGTAACTACAGCACATAAAACATAATCACAGTACAGATAAGAACGGTGTGGCATAACTACAGCACGTAGAATATGATCACAGCACAAATGAGAATAGTGTAGTGTAACCACAACATGTAGTTTTTTTTTTTTTTTCTTTCCCTGCACAGTACTTATTTACATCCCAGTATTAGGATATTTTATGTGGCTTATGGGTTATCAGCATTCACTATCTGATAATTCTGCTTTTTTTTTTTTTTCTGAGAGTGGGTGGGCGGGAGTTTTTGACAGAGCCAGAAAGTTACACTTTTGGGCGGCAGCAGCGAAAAAGTACAAAAAAACTACCTCGTGCTAAGCCTTTAAGTATTTACTCAATCTCTGTATATATAACCATGTGACAATGATCTGCATGATCTCTCGTGATAATATCGCTTCCGTGACTAAAGTTACAATCACTTGCCACTATACACTACTAAAATAAAATACTACGACTAATACAACCAGATCCCCAGTAGTGGTAGGTCAACGATCGAGATGTGAAAAAACTTGGTTTGAGTAACTAGGGTGAATTGGGTTCTTAGCGATAGTATCAGATTAGAGCTCTTGATTACATTACGAATCTCTTTATTCAGAATCACAGGATTTGGTCACAAATTCTAATCGTTAACATAGATTTTATTTTATCAGAGGATTAGTAAAACAAATATTTCTATTTCAAGAGCTTAAAAGGTTTTGAACTCTGTGAACTATTCACAAGTTAAGTACTCAGATTTCTTTAACTTCGAACTTTGAGTTCCCAAAAGTTATGTTTTATTTCTGGAGAGAATCTCTACTTATATAATTATTTTTACTTATACAGGAATAACGTGAATACTGATTTTTCTAGCTTTTCTAATTTTTTTTGTTATTCTGATTTTCCCCTCTATTCTAATTTTTTCTACTTTTTTTTGAATTTTCCGAATTCTAGAAATTTTAGGAATTTCAGAAATTCGTACTAATATGTTCGATTACAATTAGATATGTTAATAGTGTCAGGTATATGTTTCAATATATGTGCAGTGTGAAAATTTCAATTTTGTCTAGTTTGGTCTTATGGACCTTCATATTTAATTAGAGACTGAACAGAACACAGTCTATAGATCACTACAGGAACCATCTATAAAACTGTAGTTTCTACCAATTAAATTTAATTTGATACTGTTACTCAATACTATATATATAGGGCCATTCTGGACCATTTGAGACTACGATCTCTAGACCAGACCATGTCGTCCTTGTTTAGAATTACAAAGAATTCAGTTCTTAAGGACTGATTAACAACCCTAGTAATAATAATGTAAAATACCAGGTGTTTGATAAGTTTTTGAATAGGATCACTAAATAAATTACTATATTATATAAAAAAAATACAATTAGTCATTATAACTTTTTATATAATAAAAACTAATACTAACGGAGATATAAAAAAGGAACTTATCAAACACCCAATAGAGTAATAAATATATCAAATAGAATTGTAATAGTGTAATTAAAAACTGGGGTTTACTTATTAATTAGCATTTTAGATTTATATATTAATGTGATCTAACATTTGTACACTCTTGGTTAATTTATCTTAATATTTGTTAATAGCCAATCAGTATGTCACATTACCACATGATTTCATATTGATTATCACATGATAAAGGCATGTCTTTTGGCCTAAAAGCATGCCTCCAGGCATGCCTCATACTCTGTGCTCCTAATACTAAAAAAATAAGCCAAAAAATAAATTCAATAAAAATTATATTTTTGAATTTATTCAATTTTAATTTACTGTATATTGATATAATATCTACGTTATAAATTAAATATATTTTTAAATTTATTTAATTTTTATTTACTATAATATTGATATAATATCTACTCTAAATTACATCATTGTTCCAATTTTAAAAATTACTATAATAAATATAATACCTGTTCTATAAATAATTTTATTATTAGGACACAAATCACTAACTCTTTCTGACGATCACTTGTACCAAATTCTCTCTAAAAACAATTGCATTTTACTCTTTATTTTATTAAGTTAACCTACTTTGGTCGCCTAAGTAAAATTGTTCCTGACAAAATTTTATATATAGGCGGCCTTATTTTATATCTCTACGGGCCTTTACTATTAGGATATAACAAAAATACAAATTCTGCCTCTTTGGACAAAAATTCAAAATTTTATTAAGTAAACCTTCGTTACTCATTAAAACAAAAAGACCCAGCTTACTTGTAGCTTTATTTTGACATATAAAATATTTAAAACGGACCAAAACTGACAATTATACAACTTATTTCCTCTTAACTCTGTTATAAAAAATTTTAATTAACTTTGCAAAAATTTTTTTCTTTTTTCT